CCCCCCCCCCCCCCCCCCCTGCCACACACAAACACGGCAGTCACAGTTGACCTATTATCAGCTGCGCGCAGTTTCCGGTGACACCGGCTAGCTCCAGCAGAGAAGCTCCGCCCACATTCTGGTCCTCCACAGAACTCTACACTTATAGTTTTAGAATTCTGTGGGTCGTTAGCAATTGCCGTTGTCGTGCCTTGAGTTAACCCCTGCCGTGAGATTACCCCCCTCCCCCCACCCCCGTCCCCCTGTCCTATTTCGACACCTCGCCTTCCGTCCGGTCCCGATTCAGTCCGGCCCCTGACTCAGCGCTGAGCATCATTCGTGTAATGACCGGGTCCCGTATTCCCGCAGTTCACGTGTGTGTGTCGCAGAATTTAACTTCCACTTTAGCCGTACCGCACTAAGACTCAAGCGTCTTAAGACTTTCATATTAACGCTTCATTTCGAACATGGAATTGACAGGGATAGCAAGTGTATGTGCTCTAATGTTTTCAATCAGACGAAAGGAGAAACATTAACATTCTTGTTTTCAGTAGAATTGCAAATGGGCTGATTCATCAATGACATGTCATGCTCATAACTATGCCTGAACTGCAACGGGGAACTGCTTCTTTTTCTTTCCTAATCCTTACTATCGTCATTTTCCCTCTACTTCTTTTGTATGTTAGTCTCTCTTTCTTAAGACTTGCTATATCAGGGGCGCCTTGATAGTCGAAGCAGACTTTGTTCTGCTGAAACTAGAGAGGTGAGCAGAGTAACCCTGATTCCTTGTATGGACTTCTCTGTTGACATCCACCCCTTGAGAAGCTCATATGACCTTGTGCAGTTGCGAGCGCCGTAAAACTCTACTAAAACTTTAAAAACCACCTTCTATGTACACATTTTAATGAGAATGGCTTATCTTATAAACTCGCTTTGGTTTGAGGTAAATATTGTGCTAAACAAAAACAGAAGACACAGCTGTGAGAGAAGAACAACAGGAAGAGGAGGAAAGGAGAACGGCAAATTCGAAAGTAAATATCACATGTGCACTTCTCTGTAGATACTAAATACTCCTGTGCTCATTCCAGCAATACATTCCACCTTGTGCGGGTTTACTTTGTGTCGCTTTATCACCCTCCCCCCCCCCTCCCTCTTCATCCTCCTTTCTTTCAAACTTTTGGTGCATAGATGCAGCGTTATGAACAATATATTTTATTATCGTATTTTAGTCAGTAAGCGTTTCACGGCGCTCGTAACAGCATAATGTCATAGGAACACGCAGGATTAGTGTTGAATTTTGCCTGGGTGGCGACCAAAGCCTACCTTTACCGATTTTAGGACCATCAATAGATCTTTAACGTACGTGACTTGCACACAGCCTTCCGAGATGATTTTGTCCTTACCCGAGAAGGCTAGGTGTTACATCTTACCTACCCTAAGATCAGGGGTGTGGCTGAATTACAGCAGTAAGAAGGAGCCAAGGAGTAGCAGTAGAAAGGCTGCAGAAATGGTCAGGAGCCCAGAAGAGGGGCAAGTGGGGGGGGGGGGGGGGGTGGAGAGTAGAGACGAAAGCAGATGACAGAATTTGGCTAGAGAGCAGGAACGAAGGTTAAAGGAGAACAATTTAGGCAAGAAAACGTTCCGTCGCTGTCAGGTTTCGGATCCGGGACCTGCTGAACGAGAAGCGAACGCCGTAACTCTAAACAACGAGGACCCCCCTATTTTAGTCTCCACACGAGGTATGGTAATTGCCTTTGCAGTTCCGTTATGTTATTGTACACACTATTGCAAAAATACATATTTATTTCCTTGATGTACTTACTTATTTGAAAATATTGTTCTTCCCCATTTTGAATGACCCAATGTCTACAGCAGAGTGATATTTTATTGTTTCAGTTCACTGAGCCTTCCAAGCGGAATATTTTGGAATCATCTCCACTCAACCAGCGTCATGTCCAGCTCAAAGGTCAAAATCTTCTATCTCGACTATATGGGCCGTGCCGAAATGATTAGACTATTGTTTGCTGCAGCAGGGAAGCCTTTTGAGGACATCAGGATTGCTGATCAGGATTGGCCGAAGTGGAAGCCAAGTAAGTGACATTATGGATTTTGTGTGTGTTTAGTTAAGATTTTTATAGATTTTGTTGGGTTGGGGGGTTTTGTAAGGGGGGGGAGGTGGTGGGTTTGTTTGTTTGTTTGTTGGGATTTTTTTAAACGAACGTATAACTGTCTCATCAGACTGCTAAGGTTATAATGGAATAGTTTTCTTTTTATCTGGACTAGATGTAGGAGTTTAGTTATCAAGCAGTATCAGCACAGAAAAGAT